AACCCCCCACAAAAAAAAAAAAAGTAAAAAAACCCTACTTTCAAGTGGGATATAATGGATTCATTTGGTTTTTTTTTGATTTAATGGCTGGACTGAGAGGTTTTCTGGTGAAACACACAAGAAATCAGCATCCCCCATATTGAGGCTATTCTCAGGCTAAAGACACAAAGACATAGCTGGTACAAAATCAGCATCTTTACAAGAAGCTCAAGGTGCAGGACTTGCAAGTTCAAAGAAAGCTCATTGATACAAACAAATGCAGCTAACTTTCCATTTAAAGCTCTGCAACAACAATACATGCATCTAATGAAGACAATGCCAAATTGCCAATTGCATTTCCTTCCCAAGTCACACCACACCATCTATGAAACATCTGCTCTACCATTACTTCTGTATCATATAATTGTATATGTGTTCTTTGCGTTTGGTTTAAGTCGGTTTGCTAAACGCAATCCAAGTGGAAGAGCACATGCTCAGAATGAAGACTAACCATATGTTACCCTGAACCTAAAATGGACCAACAAGTGATGATAAAAGATGTAGCTTTGGCATCAATGCAACTGTAACATAATGAAGAATGCATCACATATTTAGAAGAACAAAGTAATAGACTCTTTGGATTGAATGATTTCAAGAATGATACATGGCATCAAAAGAATTTGCTGTCTACATATACAATGAAATGATAAAGGAGTAATGGGTATATCCGTAAGAATCAAACCTCAACCTTCAAGAAACAAGAAATAGAAGACGAAAAACACAGTGCCGACGATCAGAGAAGGCCGAACAGGACGAAGAATCCGAGTAAAATAAGCCAAACGATATGAACCAAGAGAAGCGCTTGACCTGATACCGGTCCACTGCCTCCATTTTCAAAGTCACAAAAACCTAGCTTCGCCACAGGAACACCAGCACAAATCGCCTCGGAACATCCGCACCAATAGGTGACGTTATCGACGCCGCAGACGGGAGCAGGTCTAAAGCACTTGATAGGGCAAGAACCGGGGTTTACCGAGTGAGGGCAGAGAGAAGTGGAGGAGGGTAATACAATGAGATCTGGATTGGATCGGACGGAGGTGGGTAAGGCGGTTACCGCCACGGCGATGGTGAGGAGGAGAAGGAGAAGGATTGGCGATGGTGGTTTCGCGGACATGGTGGCTATCGGCGTGCCTCCGGTGGGGAAAGGAATTGCGATGACAATAACCACAACTACAGGATTGGGAGAATTGAAAAGGTGAAGAACGAGGGAGATGAAGCAAAGAATGATGGTATCTGGTATTCGTGATTAACAAAAATTAGGGTTCGGGGAAGAAGATGAAGAAGGTGTACCAAACCCTGGATTGGTTCAACGGATTGGTATATCTTTAGCCCAGCCTTGCTTTCGTATGTTCCAGAGTCAGTTACACTTTTTTTTTTCTTATGGTTTATTAAATATTTCCATATTTGACATGTCATAGAGAAAAAAACATAAGACAAGGTTCGATAGATAATTCAGTATTGTCGAGTCTGGTCCTGTCCAGTTTTGATGATTTGAGATTTATTTATAGACAATCTGATTATTTTAACAGTTTTGTCCAGTCATATTCTAATTGTATCAAACGTAAGATAGACAATTTAGTACTGTCTTGTTCAATCCTGTCCCATTCAGTCTGCGTACCAAACACTAACTTAATAATTTCTATTTTAGTCTATGTGGTTTAGAAATTGCACTTTTCGTTCTTATGATTTACAACTCATTGTTATTTTCATCCATAAACTTAACTTTTAAGTACAATGAACCAAAACAGTAAAGAATTGTATTCCACAAACATCCGTACAAAAATAAACTTTAAATCACAGGGACGAAAATAACAACGAATTACAAACCATAGATATGAAAATCACATTTATACCAACATAAGGACGAAAATCGCAATTTTTGACAAAACATAAGAACTAAAAAAACTAAAAAAACAATTTATTCTATGTTCTATTTCTTTTTTTTCTTTTAATAAAAGTATTCTTCTATTATTTTATAGAGTTGTGTATAGAAATGAATATTTTATTTGTAGTAGAAGAATAAATTAATATAATGTATTTTTATTACAAAATTAAATTTGTTTAGACAAAATAGATTACAAATTTGAACTTCGTCTGCAAAATTACACGTTGGTTGGTTTATGTTCATCTTTAAACTCATCAAATCTACTGATCATCACATCTGTTGTTCTACAACTGAACAAAAATCAAAGTATGGTTCGGTTGATGTTTTGATTCCCATTTATGTTGTTTTGTCGAGAAAAAGACGTTGATTGATCTTAAGCAATGCTAAATAATGGTATTATTGGACTATACTTCTAGTTACTGAGTGCCATCCACTTTATTGTGGATCATAGTAGCAAGAACATAACCCACTGAATGATACTGTGACCGACATATGTGGTTAATTCCATTAGGGATATGATGAGATAAGAGGAAGTTTTAAGTGTACTTGTAATCTAATTTACAAAGCTACAAAGTATATGTTTCATGATCCATGAGAATTTAACACAACTATAAAGATTGTTAAGCTATATTCCTTACTTAACATGGAGTGCCTCTCAAGTGTTCCTGTTGCACTGATCTGGCCAAAGTATCATAACCTGTTTAAGGAACAACAATCAATTAATTACACACAAAAAATAAGATATTAGTAGTAGTATTTAACCCCTTTCAGGAACAATAATTAGAGGCAAGTGAACATACACAACATGATCAATTTTCTTTGGCATTTCTATTTATATTTTTCCATGTGGAATACATTAGATTTGGTTGATCATGTTCATGTTACTTGTGAAGTTTGGTGACATATTTTTTGCATGTAACACATTAGTTTTGATAAGTTGGTTTGGCTAGAATGAGTGGAAAGCGCTATAAACGTATACAAAATGTTCTAAATGTCAATAGTTTCTTGATATAATGAACGCTGCCAAACAAGTTTTGAATGTGTGCAGGTGGGATTTAGGTGTGATGGCATAATTGGTAGAGGGTATTGGAGTTGGTTTGTTGCTTCCTCAATGATGCTGGAATGTTTTAAGGCTGATTTTGTTAAGGAGTTTTTGATTTTTGGGTTTATCACACTGAGTACACTAGGTGCTATGTCAAGGTTCAAGTTGATATTGTTGTTGGTGCTTGGTTGATGATATTGAATCTTAAGATGAATCTATACAAAAATGAGAAAAAGTAGATTTTTTTATTACGTTCATAGAATATCTCATGTTTTGAACAAGTAATATTGTATTTGTAATTTATATTTGCAAGATGATTTATTAATTCAAAAGCTTATCAAGCAGTCATATTTTTAAGCACTATATTATACAGAGAGTTAAAATTGTAATATATTGTTATTCAATATTCATTCAAAATACTTACCAAACAATCATTTTCTCTTTCCACACTAATTCGTACAGAGCCTCTTAATCATCCACACTACCTAATCATTCTGCAACAAATCATTCAACATCTAACAAATAACCCCCTAGCCTTTTAGACATGCTTAGTAAAATGTCTCTAAAACCTTTTTTTTCCTTAAAATTCTAACCTTTAGAGAAACTTAGTTGCTTCAATTTTTAGATAAACTTTTTTCCGGAAAAGCTTCTCTTAGGGTTTTAGAGACATTTCTGGTAACATTTGATTTATCTTAAAAATTCTCTAAAGAATGTCCTACCTTTATATTTGCTTTTCACTTCTATCAACCAATTCTTTCTCTAAAGGTTATTGCTCGTCGGTTTATTCAACCTTAGATTCCAACACAAAAATAGAACTCGGCGCAAGTATACACCTCGAACTACTGTCGTCTCGTAACAAGTAATAATVGTAAAAAGTACCAGATTTATCGTTCCCACAGAGATAGCTTGTAAAGTTGATTCAAAAAGTCCCGTTTATAAAAACTAATTTCAGAAGGCGAAACGAGAGATTTGATTTATCTAAAATGGGGAGATTTAATTATTAACTAAGAAAATATCAATCTTAAAAAGAAGCACAGGGTGCAACAGTTGATTAAGACTTTAAACAAATGATTCAGTAAAAAGGTGACATAGCATTCCTGTCATAATTATTTAAAATCAATAAATGATTTTATATTACTATGACAGTATCAACTATCGGGTCAGACGG